CCCCCCCCGACGACACCAACTCATCCGTAGTCGACTGTGTTTGATAAGAGAGAAAACAACTCTACCTTCCATATGTATTGCCATGTGAATGCTTAAAAGAGACCCACGTCTTTGAATGCCCCTTTGAAAGCTACGTGTGTATTGTTAGTGTAAAGGTTAAAAACATGTTGGTTTTTTTACGCAGCCTCGTTCCCTACGTGTGTTTTGCTATTGTAATTACTGTTTCTTTAAACTAAATTAAACACGCTTTTGTTCCATGCATCTTCGTACATTTCTAACCGTGGAGCTCTATGTGAGCCTACATGTTACGCGACAGTATCCCGAAGAGAGCAGGCATCAATTTCTCCCCCGATGCTCTCTGGGTGCCTCTTAAACTATTTACTCTTGATCTTGCAGGCAAGCGGTTGGAAAAACAGGTGCAAAGCTGCGTATTACTCCTCGCTGCTCTGGGAAAAATTCTCACCTATAGACGCCCTCAAAAGGTGTCAGTCATGGGCTATCGGGTGTCGGATTTGTAACAAAAGTATGCAATACAAACATTCAGTGTTTCTTTTCTAAATAATATGCTTTTGTCTGTTGTTTCTGTTTGGGTGCTTCTGTTTTTAGATGCGGAGACAAGCTTCCTACGCGCAGTAGCTACCTGGGAGGTGATTTTACAACACTTAACGTAGAGAGACCAAAGCACGGCCTCTGTGGCACCTCTACTACATGTATAATATGTACTACGACGCGGTTGAATCAAGCGCTCGTCAATTTTTAGGGGAGGGGAGGGGGCTGGCTTAATAGAGTTATTAATATAAACGTAAAGCTTGTTCATTTGTCTTGCTTTTGAGGAAAGGGATACCAATTTATCTTGAATAGAGGTCGAGAAATGTGTCATTGAAGGAGTTGGGGGGCGGCCTAGCTTCAGAGGTAAAATTAACAAGTTCTGTAACTTCCATAGCTTGGCATTTAGATCTACATTTTTTTGGTGCCCTTAATCAACAGTTTTCAGTAAAATACAAACCGAAATGAGTATTTAATTGGACATATAACGTGTTGAGCCAAAAAAAAATAAAAAATTCAGTAAATATTGCCAAACTGGCGGAGAAAATGCAGCTTTCTTCGATTTAATTATTTTGACGAGCGCCTGATTTCACCACGATGCCTCACATATGTCTGCAGCTGCGGTGGACGGAGCGTATGGCGTCTGTAGTCTGAAGTATAGATACAAAGAGGGGATGGATGGGGTTTGTCTTTGAAACTGTGTAGAAGAGAGGGGGAACAGGGAAGTTAAAGGAGGAAAAAGTAAGGGAAACGAAGAGGAAGAAAGTGTGGGGGGTGTATGTATGTGCGTGCGTGCGGGTGTGTGTGTGTGTGTGTGTGTGTGTGTGTGTGTGTGTGTGTGTGTGTGTGTGTGTGTGT